TCTCTCTTTCTTTTTTTTCTCGTATCGTACACACCGTAGTACTATATATAATATACATACATATATATATATATGTATATATATATATATATATATATATATACACATATACCTAATTTGCAATAATAAATATATACATGTATAATAAACTAATAATTCGTGAGTGAACGTCAACGTATTCTTCTTTTCGAAATAATTCATCCGTTATTCGAACACATCGAGTAGAACAAGTTTCGTCGTCTTCTTGTCGTCGGCTCATCGTTGGATTCTTCGCGTGTGTTGGTTTCTCGAATCAACGTTTTTTTTTTAAAAGAATCGAATGAGTGGAATAGAAAAAATAAGAATAAACAGAAGGGAGTAAGGAAGAAAGAAACAAAAAAAGGAAAAAATAGAAAGAAAGAAGTTAAATAAGTTTCTCTGGCAAAGTGTGTAGTCAGATTACTAGCGTCGGACGTTACCTTATGGAAGGAGAGAGCCATCGTGGCGTGTATATAGTAGCGGCGTAAGAGCGGAGGCAATAGCGCAAGAGTGGCTCCTCGTCGATACGCTCGGAGCGACGGCTAGCTCGTAAACAACGCGGGAGAACTACTATCTTTCTCTCTCTTTCTCTCTCTTTCATACAAACTCACATTCACATTTACTTTACGCTCACGCTCGAGAGAAGAAGAGACGACTCCTCCTTCTATCGCATTCACGCTCGATCTCGACTCGAAAAGGATAGGAAGCAAAAAGAGAAAAGTGGGAGAGAGAAGGAAAAGAAGCAAAACTACTACTACGCTACAGTAGTATTAGTAGTAGTAATAGTAGTAGTAGTAGTAGTCGCAGCAGCAACAGCCAGAGTAGTATATCTCTTTCGAGTTCTTTCTTTCTTCCTCTCTATTGCTAGAGAAGAGTGCCATCGAGTTCTCGAGAGAATATAGCGGATTTGAAGATTTTAAATTTGTTTCCTACGAACATTTCAAAGACTACCTACGACGACGGCGACACAACGAAGACGATTGCCGGTCGAAAGTTGGTATCTCTGTGCGCGCGTGCGTGCTGTGCCGCTGCCGACACGCCCCCGACACGCTCGGACCCTACCCCTCGCCCCCTGCCCTGCCCTGCGCTGCCCTGCCCTGCGCTGCCCCCCTCGGATCTCCTGCTGCTACGTGACCGAGCTCCACGCTCTTTTCTGATTTTCCACTAGTCCCATGAATCTTCAGTAAGTATTTCTATTACACCTAATTCAAGTATATATTATTATTATTATATCTTATAGAAAATCTTTTATTATTGATCTTGTTTCTATTTCTTACAATTTTTATTATAATTCTTTTTTTTTTTTGTATTTTTCTTTTTTACAACAATCAATCTTTCCTTTCTTTTTATCTTGTAATTTTGTAATAATAAATTTTCTATATTATTTTATATATATATATATTTTATTATTTTCTATCTCACGTTTCTCCATTTTATTGTGTCCATCGTGTGTTTATTTGAATATGATTATTAAAAGCATTTATCTTTATTTTCTATATTTGTTGGTAACTGTGCAATATATTTTTACTATGTTAGATTAATTATTTTATTATATATCTTATATATTGCTTTGATAGTTTTTATCACGTATTTATCTGAAAACGTTTAAAAAAAAAAAACTAATCTATTCGTGCATTTATCTATATATTTCTATCTTTCTCCGTTGCTCTTTATTTTCTGACTTACCCATTTACGCTTGCATAGAATAGTATCGAAAGTAAAAGGTTCGCCCGGTATAACGTACGTTTCATTTTCAAGGTTCTCGCGTCCAACGATCCCTCTCTGCTCTCTACGTACACATTTATATATTCCACACACAAACACACATAATTCTACGTAAATACTTGTATATACCAAGTTACATACTCCTGTGACGGTGTTAGATACGTTTTCATGAGAGAGAGAGAAAGAGAGAGAGAAAAGTATTGATTATATCGATCCGATCTCAACTAACCAGTTATACTTCCTGTCCTGACTTTTATTTTTTCATCATTATCATCATCATCATCATCATCGTGCAAGTATCATCTAGATCATCATCATCATCATTGTCTTATTTAAATTGTCAAGTTTCTTCATTTACCATTGTAATTTCGATTTAACATCCGACACGAACACACGCAGCAGCAGACATACGAGTTATTTCATTATAATCATCGTTATTAACGTCATAATCATCATCATTTTCGTTCTCTTCTCGTCTTCTTTTCTAGCGTCTCTTTCGGTTTCAGCTTTATCAGCGATCCGAGACGGAATCTATCGAGGAAGCTGCGTATCGCGAGACGAGACATCCGGTCTTATCGTAACTCCGCTTCCTGCTCCGCAGCATGAAATTATTTTTTTTTTCTTCTTTAGTTTCGATTAATTTACATGTCCTTCCAGCTCTCCGTTCATTCATCTATTTATCTATCTATCTATATATCTATCTAGTTGTTCGTTCATATATCTTTTTTCATTTTTATTTATAAATGTTTGCTAGACTTTTTATTGTCCTTTATTTTTTGCTACGCAAGATGAATTATAAGAGAGAGAGAGAGAGAGAGAGAGAGAGAGAGAGAGAGAGGAAGGAATATATAGTTGAGAGCGAACTCTTCGCATATTCTTCTTTCATCTTTCAATAGAGTGAGAATGTGTTTGTATGTGATTATGAAAGTTGCGTATAATTGATAAGTACGAAAAAGTTGTGTCCAATATTTATCTAACCTTAATGTCGTTCTCCAATTATCTCTAAATAAAACGTACATATCTTAATCGTGTTGTCAGTGTTTCATAATCGCGTACTCTCATGCACATATACACACGATACACATATATCTAAATAATATATTATATATATACATCCTATCGAAAATATTATTTGTGTCGATATTTTCAATGAGAGAGCATACGCGCATATACTAATCCACCACACGTACACCACTACTCGGCATCATCACGTTTATATATATATTAATAAATCAATACAATTTATAGTAAAATGAATTTATTAGATTGAACACACAAATCTTGTCCCAATGTGATTAAAGAATCTCATAATATACCTACATATATACATAAATAAATAGCGAATGATACGTACTGGTTGTTCTTTCGTTCGTTCGTTCATTCGTCGAGATAAACGTAGGCGAGGAATTCGAAAAACTAAAGAGAAACGTGCTTCCGATGCCGCAATCAGTCGCGTCCGCGTAGCATCCGGATCACGTAAGAATACCATGCAAGCAAGATATCGTTGATCGCAATGCGGATATTAAGCAAGCAGACAACCAAGTAGATGAGAACATTCAAGTCGAGAATCGACACTTTTACCGAACTATGACAAAGCCAACGTTTATGACGAATACAGTCTTCGATAATGTTTTTTTTTCTTTCTTTTTATTTTTTTTTAATATTCTTTCTAATGACTCACGATCGATTCACTAGAGTAGAATTTATTGCTCATCTCGTACCTGGAAAGTTTCCTTCCTCCTCTTTCCTATTGGTAGCCTCTTTCATTTATTCCTTTCCGTTATTTTTTTTCTACGCCCTATTATCGCGTTTTGTATATAAAGAAATAGTGAGATAATGATAGCGAGAGGAGAAAATGTAAACCGGAAATCATTGGTGGGTGTTATCTCTATTTTACGGACGACTATAGGTCTCTTCTGACTGACCTATGGCAGTCCGTTAACGATAGCTCGAGTATTCTACCCTAAGAGGAGGAGGCACCCTCTTCAACGGGCTGCCTGTTTACTTTGACAATGTGTTCATGCTTGTGCGTGACTACTGTGTGTATCTCTTTCAAAATGAGAGTGAGAAAGAGTAAACGTTCGAAATCGATTTCTCTCCTCTCTCTCTCTCTCTTTATTATTTTCTCTTTGTGTAAATATATAGATAAACCCATTTTCTAGATTAGAAAATATAACAGAGAAATTTGTCGTAGGTTTAATAGAGGAAAAGCGCGGAAGTACGTTTATGTAGGTGGATTAATCGTGTCTCTTCGGACAATTCCGTAAATTGTGATTTATAAGAGATAGTTTAATCTGTGTATATGCGTGTATTTGTGTGTGATTATAAAGGTGATACGATCCTGATGGATTCACCGAGGAGAGACATATCACACTCTCCATCTTTCATTTTCTCTCTCTCTCTCTCTATCTCTCTCTCTCTCTCTCTTTTTCTGTTCTCTTCTATCGTTGGGAAGCCCAAGTAGATACCTACATATGAAACGTTGAAACGTTTCTTAGAAATCTGTGGGCGCTTCGAGTGGGTTGAGGAACGTCGTAAGTCGATTATAAAAGAAATTTAATAGGGACGTTCTTCGCGGTTTCTCCGTAAGAATTTTACTCTATAGTATATATCCCCGTGTACTTACTCGCAACCCGTTGAGAGTTTATCGGTCATAGATCACACCATATTAATTTTGTAAATATACAAAGATGGAAAATCTTAGGCTACTTTGAGAGGACGTTGTTTCATTATTGTATAAACACTCCCCATATACGTATACATATATTGAAGACCATGAAAACTATTGGTAGAGAGAAATCTTGAAACTTTGATGCGAAGAGGTGGTTTCGGTTGAACGCAAATGCGTGGACCCGTACGATTGGTGTTTTGTCGAAAGAAAACGCTTGATTCTCTTTGAGTGTCCCCTGTGGGCGCAACCGAGTGGGCCGAAGATCACTGAATCAACGGTCGCATCGCGCGAACTACGGGGCACCCACTCGTATCACGTACGCCCACTACTTGACTCTTTCCATCGATCTCTCTTTTTCATTCTTTTTCTCATCACGTAGTAGGTATATAGATATTAGTAGATAAACCCCGGCGATTTTGACTCTCTTTTACCCTTCTAAAATGTGCATCTCGCTTGTCGGCGCGTTAAAGTCTCCCAAGTAGAGAGAAAGAGAACTACTCCCTCAGCAACCCTTAGGGAATAAGGATTGTCTCTTATCATCGATAAAATTATATTGACCATGGTATTTTTACTTGTTTGATTTTAGGTGGGGATGAAGCGCGTGTCGCGAGGGCGAGGGGAAGCGGACGCGGAGTATTACCGAGTACCATCCTTGCTAATGGAACGCCCCCGTCGAGAGTGCCACCACCTCGCGCGGGCTGGGCTGTGCGTATTACGTCAACAACACTCCAACAACAACAACAACAACAGCAGCAGCAGCAGCAACAACAACAACAGCAGCAGCAGCAGCGTACAACGCCTATTCTTCCAAGTAGTAGAAGGACACCAACACCGACTAACGGTGTTCAACAATGGGCTAGCGGGCAGGCGACCTTATCTTCGTCGAGTGCATCATTGGCGAGCGGGGGAGGAGAAGAATCAATTCTACCGAGTGTGCTCCGAGGAGGAAACGGAGTTCGTCAAGAGCACCGACAGCAAAAGTTACAACATCAACGACAAAACTACCAGCACCGACAGCTGGAGAATCGTTGGGAGAACGAGGAGGAGTTGGAGGCGACGAAGAAGGAGGAGTATCCTCCTCGTCATCGGAGACATCAACAAGGGGACTGTTTTGAACTGAGAGGTCGGCAGATGTCGCAGAAGAATGCGATACCGGGGCTCTCGCGGGCTGCCGTCGTCAATGGCGTCCTCGACGGCGAGCATGTGCGCGTCCACGACCATAATCGTCCCTTACCACCTCCACGAACGATCCCGTCAACGGGGACGACGAATACTGGAACGACATCGACCGGAATCACGGCACCACCACCACCACCACCACCACCGTCGACGACGACGACGACAACGACAACAACAACGACGACGGCAACGGCAACTTTGAGGATACCTCAAACGGCCCCGTTAACACCCCTTTCCACCTTGAGTTCCTCCTTCAGGAGTAGGCCGACGACTAACGTCAGAACTCCTCCATCTCAGAGCTTCGAATCAGCACCCACCTTGCAAACCGGAGGCTCTCCGAGGAATCTCTTGACACCCACGTCAATGGACGTTGTTCCCACTCCACCGAGAACTCCGCTCGGGGAAGTTAGCTTGGCTTCCCCGAGACCGGACGGGGAGAGAGTTATCAACGAATACGTTGAAACGCCGTTCAAGCAACCCAATGTCATTGATCGTTTAGACGGTATCGTTCACGTCGACACCATTGATGGCAAACGTTCAGGAAACGATTGTCCGAAAAAAGAGAAAGCAAGATCGCGAGGTAAACATGCTGCGGACAGTGGTATAGCGGGGCTTCATCGAGCCATCATTAACAATACCAGTAGCTCTAGACGTCGCGGTGGCGGTGGTGGTGGCGGCTTAGACGCGACTAGTACAGCCTCGACTATTAACACGACACCGGGTGGTACAGTGAGGATACTAAGGGCGAACGAGAGGAGAGGGGTGGTGACGAAACAACCGGTTTCTTTTACGAAGGAACCGGCAAACACCCTGGGCTCGTCGAGGACCTACGACCCGGCCGGGCTTTCCATCATTTGCGAATATTGCGGAAGGTGTCGGTGCGAATCTTGTCGAGAACCACCCTTATTGCCTAGCAAATGGCTCTGTAACGATTCTTGCTATTGCTCAGCCGAGACGGTTTTGGATTATGCTTCATGCCTGTGTTGCGTTAAAGGACTATTTTATCATTGCGTCGATGGCAATGGGGGAGGAGGCGGTGGTTCGGGAAGTGGAGCTACCGGGTCCTCGTCGATGGATGCCGATAATGGCGAGAGTTGTGCCGACCAGCCATGTTCTTGCACCGGCAACAGGACATTATCGAGATGGGCATGTCTTAGTGCTTTGACCATACCGATGCCTTGTTTACTCTGTTATTGGCCCCTCAAGGGTTGCGTAGCCGTTTGCGAGACATGTTACGCACGACATGCTTCGCAAGGCTGTCGATGCGAACCCGGAGTATTAACGGGGAGCAACACGTCAAGTAGGCATCATGCTATAGTTAACGACATCGGTTATTCCAGGGATCCGGAGAAAAGGCTACTCGATCCAGTAACTCCGGAACTCTGAACCATAACAGGTCGTTCTTCCAATTAATTCCTGTAAATGGTTCTATTGGACTCTAAGGAGGGTGGTGCGAATTAAATATGCGCATTGCATTAAGTACAAGAGTTGCATTTAAGTCCGGAATTTGAACGTTTTTACCAATGAACTAAACTATTATTACTATTTTATTATTACTACTACTACTACTACTATTACTATAATTACTATTATTATTATTACTACTACTACTACTACCACCACTACTACTACTACTATTACTACTACTCTACTACTACTCTACTACTACTACTACTCTACTACCACTACTACTACAGCTACAATTATTTTTATTATTATTATAATTATTATTAATTACTGTAATTAATTATTATTATTATTATTAATTATTATTATTATTGTAACGTCTGTGCGTACGTGTGTGTGTGTGTGTGTGTGTGTGTGTGTGTGTGTGATTACACCGAGAGTGTTTTATTTATTATTCTTTCACGTACGAGAACAAATACACATGGTGTGTGATGAGTGGAACGTTTGCTTTTAAATACGTGCGTGTGTGCGTTGACGACATATTTGCATGGCTGATTGTATGCGTGTATGGAAGAGAGAGATAGAGAGTGAGAGAAAAAGAGTTAGGCGAGAGAAATTAAGGTACGAACGACATACCATTTATGACTTAGGGAGAGCGCTAACTTGTATACATTACGAAAATGTAAAACGTGTAATAGGGAACGAATTTGCCTATTAATTATGCAAAATCGGTTGGAGGAAAATTTCATATATTAAATATATATGTATATTGTATATTATGTTTGTATAAAGGATCATCTTTTCTACGGTTAATTTATTCGCGAATATATTGCCAAATATATATAGTCGAACGCGTAGCACATAAAATAAATAAATAAATGAGTATATATATATATATATATATATATATATATATATATGCCGGTAATTATGATAGTAAACTAAGTTAA